TTACTCCTACCTTACGTATACGTACGAGAAAGTAATATACAAACGAAACAACTAGTCACTCTACAAACTACGAAGGGTAGGCCGTCGTCTAACTATACTTCCTACTCTCTCTCTCTCTCTGACTTTCTAACTTATAACTCTCTCTCTCTCTCTCTCTCTCTCTCTCTCCATCACATGGACTGCATACTTGTGAGATTCTTTTAAAATAAGCTGCAAGGATATAATAGAGGTACCTTAAATGATACACCTAGTCCAAGCATTATAAGCCTCTTCAATACATCATGTACTCCAAGAATCCCCAATCAACACGGTCCAATGCCATCTCGATAACAGCCTTGACAACAATACCTAGCGTTCTGCCATCTAGAATCTGCCTTTTCTTTCATTCTTTTTTTTTTTCTCCCTGAGATTTTAACTTGTATCGTATTCAATTTTGTATACAAAATACTGTCAGAGATGAGAGGATGTACAAGGTTAATATTGTAAGAAGCTCCTCGCCTTGTACATAAAGTACAAAAAACGGAAAAAGAGGCCTTGGTTATATATGGAATAGACCAGGGGAAGTTCTAGGAAATTTTGAGTGGATAAAGCAGTTATAGACTGGGCTTATGAATCCCCTCCTTGGCCAAAGTCTGCAACAGAGGTTTGAGTCCGTCCCGCTGTGATTAAGGACACCTGAAAAGGGTGAGACAGTCGAGAGAGATTGTTGACTCCTTCATCAAGTCTCCAAAGGATGGACATCGAATTTGAAGAATAGCTGTGAGCCCTATCCACAATCAAAATGTCTCAGCCCATTAAGGAGGTCCAAAGATTCGACACAGTCTGCGACACCAGCCAGGCCTGAGTGTGACAATAAGATCATGCCTCGATGGTCTCAGAATGCAACCCCAACCCCTACCAGACTGGAATTGCCAAAAGAGCACCCATTGAATTTTAAACTTGGTGGTACCAATGGACGGTGGTGTTGGAACAGCAGATCTCGTAAAGGAAGCTTGACAGGTGAGAAACATGTTACTGATATGTAACAAACTCGGTGGAGGAGACCCACAAAATTCCCTGCAAGCAAGTGCCCTAGAGGTGTTCGGCGCCGGTCAATGAGGACTTTGAATTCTTAGTTCAACATTTTGGAAGGTTCTCCCATTTCTCTCACAAAAAGGACCAGAAAATGGAAAGAACAATGAACCGCCAAAGGGTGTGGTCAGCAGTGTTATCCAGACATGTGGTTCATCCTCTTAGTGTTGCGTGTTGATACGTGTTGGCCTATACACATGTCAACACCTCCAAGTACGGGGTAAAAAAGTTGGAGGTTTTAACGTGAGGCCCAAGGTTGGAATTCAAGACCTATGGAGAGAGAGTAAGTGAAGTCTACTGCTATGAAACTAACACAGATGCGTGCACAATATAAAAAGTTTTTGCTATGTAATACTAAAAAGCATTATTTTTTTTGGGTAAGTAAAAAATAAAACATTATTTCATATACAAACTAATGTGAAGCTCAATTCTTAAGGATCAAACTTGGAGCTTCTCCATGATGCATACTACGCTCTAGCACTATGAACTTCACAGAGTATGGACTGAGGCATTTGGAACAAGGGCATTGGGAAAATAGTGGTATTAGACATAGTAGCTTTGATCATGGTGAATTTTACCTCTAAAGCGGTAGACAGTGACACATCTGCCACCCGGCCTTCTCTCAAAATTTTCTCCAAGGCCTACATATTGGCATCTTGGCTTGCCAATATATGGCAGTAGGACAAGGTATTTAGAGGGAAGATGGTCAAGGACGCATCCTACTCTATCCGCCAAGGTTCCAACAAACTCATAACTGGAGACCATACTGTTAAGTTTGATCTTGCCCATGTTGATGTGAAGACCAGAAGCAAGTTCAAAATACCCAACAAAGAGCTAGAGATTGTCGTCCTCTTGAGGAATTGTGTCACAGAACACCAGCGTGTCATCAGTGTATTGCAGAGAAGAGATAGTAGTCCCGTTTTGGGAAATCGTGAAGCCATGGAGTAGGTTCTTGTTATTGAGGCGATTAATGGACCTCCTGAAGCTTCCAGCCAACACAACTGCAAACAGCAAGGTCCATAATGGGTAGCTTTGGCATTGCCCTCAAGAGGATTGAGAATAGAGCTCATAAAGATTTGGGAGTGTTGCTGTTTGTTGGATCACTGCTCTATGATGGGATAGTACTTTAGCCTTGATGGGATGGTCTGCTGACCATCACCACATCTCATTTCCAGGCCTATCTCTGATATATTCCAGAATCCGGCTTCCCTCCACAAAGGCAACTCGTAAAGGAGAAGTGGAATTGCATAACAATTCCTCAGTTTGGTAGATATGATATTAAATGTACTACCCACAGGCGAATGGGTTTAAAATCCTTCATTAACTTGGAGTCTCATGTAACTATGGGTCTAAAATCCTTCATTAACTTGGAGTCTCATGTAACTACCATGTCCCACATGGGTCTAAACTCTAAAGTCTTGACGTAAATGCAGGTCTTAACTGCATCACCTCAACAGTCAACCCCCCACCCCTATCCCATATATAAAAAGATAGAAAAAATAAAAAAAGCTCTACCATACTTACACGCAAAACCAAATAAATGCAAATAATCATCAGTGCAATGGAATAACAAGAGAGATTTACCTTCTCTATATTTTCTTCATTTAGATCAAGGCCTGTCTCCTCATCTGCAATAGGTTCAACTGCAACAATTTCTGGAATCTTCTCCATTAGACGACGTTCGATTCCCATCTTCAGTGTCATCACAGAACTAGGGCAGGAGCCACACGCCCCTTGCAGCTTCAATTTCACAACATTCCCATCAATTTCATGCAATGCAACATTACCCCCATCTGACATTAAATAAGGGCGAACTTCATCCAACACACTCTCAACATTTTCTTCAGTTAATGGCAATGTCACTTCTGAATCTGGAGTAGCAACAGCTTCAATGACTGCAAAATGGAGTAGGAGGAATCATGATGAGCCATGATTTATGACATGGTCAACCTTTACTTAGTAGAAATAAATTACAACAAAATTCAATAACATCAGAAACACATGGAAAAACTGCAATATGAAATGACAACACCCCAAGAACCTTGATATTACATTTCTGTTCATTCATCATCATTAAGTTTTTAGGTGTTTTTTGACGTGTCCATTACCAATGCTACAGTCAGGAAGCACCTCTTTAAGTTTTCCTGTTTTACTGTAGGTAAGAGAAAGAAGATGAGCAAAGGTCTCATTAGAAAGGTAAAATGGTTTGGGGCAATGGACCAGAAATAAACTGGAGAAAAAAATTTAAGACTTAAGACCTTTCAAAAGGGAATCATCATCATCATCATCCAAACATTTATCCCAACTAGCCGGGATCGGCTATATGAATCCCATTCCTCCTTCAGAATTCATGATAAGATGTGGCAAAATTTTATGTTGGCTACCCACCTAATGCAACCCTCCTCTTTTACCCGGGCTTGGAACGGGTTAAGGGAAAGTTTAAGGTCCTCAACCCTCTTAGACCACTATCAAACACACTACTTAACACTAATTTTATAAAAAGATAAAAAAATCCAACATTATTTGCCAGTATATATTTCATGATGACTAGCCAAAACTCGATATTGCCTTAGTAGAATTGATACATTTCAAAGTTCATATGTGTCTATTTAAAATACAAAAGAAGATCAAAGTCCAAATGAATGATTTATCAATGTTCAGTGAACAAGAAGAAGGATCGAGAAAAATCTGTTTCACTAAGTGTGCTGATATGTGTCTGACATGAGGATGGCACCCAAACAAAGAAACGATATAACAAACTAATAATAAAATGCAGGCTAAAAATAGGGTATCACGAAAAGGTTGTTACACCTGAAAAATTGAATTAGACAAATCTTGATCATTTTTTGTTTCTTTTATGGCGAATGAAATTGAGGTTGATAAAACCTTCTCACATTCAGGTAGGCTTAACAACTCACTCATGATTTATGAGCTCTCATATTAAATACGTAGTTAAGCTCAAAACTAATATAACCAAATAATATTGTTGTTGGATGCCATTTCCAAAGTGAAAAAGACCAACATCATGTAACCTCATTGATCATACTAACTTATTTTTTGGAACTTTTGATCATTTGGATTTCCCATTCACCTTAAAACTGGACTCAGTTGCATAATTGCTAATAATTTTTCAGAAAAAATAAATCATAACAAACAATTAATTTGATCATTATAATAAAAAATATATTACTTGTTTGAACATTATATTTAATAATACATTCAAATGTAATATTAAGATTTTGTCTAAGTGAAGGTTAGCAGCAGTCAAGCACTACTGATGTAGAAAATAACTTGAGACTGAGTTAGTGAAAGATGACTATAAGAGACTGAGTTAGTGAAAGATGACTATAACCACACATAAAAAATGGTATTGAGGATATTGACGATCGTACAAAGAGTAAAACTGTAATTATATTCAGTCCTACTGAGAATCATAACTCACAGAGCACCAAGCACCAGTTCAAATAAAACGAGTTTTCCTTGAAGATAATTATTCAGGCATCATAATGTAGTTTTGCAGAGATGGGTATCTAGTTAGACTCAAGTTATCCAAATCTCAGCAATAGCTCCGAATGAGTTGGAGTCAATCTCGAGCTTGTGAAACCTATAGTCTAAGTTATCCAACAAAATAGCTCGGAATGAGTTGGAGTCAATCTTGAGCTTGTGAAACCTATTCCCATTCTTTGTTCAGCACCACCAATTGCAATGGCATAAGTTAAGGGTTAATCCCACATGATATAATATCTTATTATCAAAAGAATCTGGAGTTATTTCGGTGTTAAACATTACATGTTTCTCAATCCCTGCTTTCAGTGTTTTTGCCACTGCAAATTTTAAGCTCGATATAAGTTACCAAAGATGTTTTCAGCATATCAAGCTATTAAAAATGTAAGCTCAAAAGAGTTATAGTCAAGTCCCAAGCTTATGAACCCTCTCCCATTCTTTGTTCTGCCTCACAACTTACAATGGCATATGTTATGGGCTAAATCCCATATGATATATAAAATCATATTATCAACACTTCTTGGCATTATCTTGGTGTTAAGCAATACATTTTTCTCAACCCTTGCTCAATTCTTTTGGAACTGCAAATTTTAAGCTCAATATTGAGTTATCAAAGATGCCAAGAATTTTTTAAGCTCAATAGTGAGTACAGAATGTGAGAAGAGCGGGGGCAGGATACCCACAGACAGGTTCTGCCCAAAAAATAGGCAACCCACAAACGGGTGTGTTTAAGGGTATTTTTTAACACTGGTATCCCCGTTGCGAATGCCCTGTACAGAACCAAGGGTATATAAAAAACGCTTTACATGAATTGAGTCATTACATCAATTCCAAACTGTGATAGGAGCTCGAGTAGAGGTTTTTCAAGGGTTGCTCAGGTTGGCTTGAGACAAGGTTGCGGTTGCTTTTGCTATAGGAATCAACCCCACCATTTGCTTCTCTCCAAAAGTGATTCCACGAGATTTGTAGATTCCTTGTGAGTTGACAGATTTCTTCAAAGATGCTGTCGAGCCTCCAAAGCCAGGGGGCAGTGCCTGAGGCCTAGGCTATAACACTGTAAGAGTCGCCTTCAATGGTTACATACTGCCCCCAGCTAGTGTCTAACTTCCTGAGGCCTTCTTGGAGGGTAGAGGCCTCCACAATTGTCGAATCAGAGACACCAATGGGAATAGAAAAGGAGCAAAGGGTATTGTTGTTGTGGTTGCGGAACAAGCCACCTATGCCTGCATGGCCTGAGTTTCATAGAGAACACCCGTCAAAGTTAAGCTTGACGTGGCCCACTTCGGGTGGTCTCCAAAGGGAAGAGTCTGGTGGCCTATGAGTTTTGAAGGAGAGAATGGGAGTCCAGCTGTGGAGAAAGTCAGAGTGGCAAAGATTTTTGAACTGTTTGTGGTGAGTGGCCCAGAAGATGACTGCTTCTCTGACCTTTTCTACTAGGGCATTCATCGGAGATGACAGGCTTCGAAAAATTCTGGCATTTCTCTCATTCCAGATTGTCCAAAGGGTGGCAGCCACCGAGGCCTGCCACAGCAGCGTGCCGGCCTTAGGCCAGGGGGTTGAGAAGGTAGAACATATGAGATGAGGGACATCAGGTGGTGTCACCCACTACCATTGGAATAACTGAAGGATATCAGCCCATATAGACGAGGCTACCTTGCAATGGATGAAGAGGTCAGCATTGGTCTCCTCGTCCTCAGTGCACATAATGCATCTATTTGGGATTTGGAGACCCTTTCTCTGTAATTGATCCACCGTAAGGGTTCTCTCGGATCCAGCTATCCAATTGAAGAATTGAATCCCAAAGTGATCCAAACTTTGTTTACAATAGAAGTGGGGCAAGCAGGGGGGCTTCTGGGATGAGCTAGAGCAGAGTAGAAAGAGGCCACCAAGAAGGAACCCGAGTGGTTGGGGGTCCAGATGAGGCTATCTTGGCCTCGAAGGGGCGGGAAGACAGAGTTTAGAGTGATGGAAAGGTAATTCCTGAAATTCTGGGTCCAAGAGTGGTCATCTGAGGGTACGACTCCACACCCTCCTGTTGCCCATCAGCTGAAACTGGGATTCCACAGTTGCATTAAAGTCACTGGCCAGTAGGAGAAGTCTAGGGTATAGGTCTTAAGGGGTGCATTCTCCAGCCAAGTATTGATCCAGAACAGCATTTTGTCGCCCTGCTTAGGCCTGTACATGATCATGGACTGAAAGTGTGGATAAGCACGCAGTATGGACTACCATATCCCCGAGGAGTTGCTATGCGCTTGTCGTGAGGGGACCCAAGAGGGGTCAGAGCTGCGGTATTTCGAGTTGATCACCTCCTGCCAGAGATGGTTGTTTTGGGTAGCTAAGCACCACCACCATTTCCCAAATAGAGCAAGACTATTTTCTTTGAGGGTTTGAATGCCCAGCCCCCCTAGAGATTTAGGTTTGCAGACATTCTTCCAAGATATAAGATGGATCTTCCTATCCCCATTACTGGACCACAAAAAGTTTCCAATTAGCTGCTCCAAACGGTGAGCCACCAAGGCTGGCATATGAAAAAGTGACATCTGAAAAATAGGGGTGCTAGAGAGAGTGGCTTTAATCAAAGTAAGGCGGCCTGCCGGAGATAGGAATCTGCCTTTCCACCGTGCCAATCTACGGTCATATGTGTCAATGATATGGCTCCAAAGATTCAGTCCAAGCTTACCTATGCAGAGGGGCAGTCCCAGATATGTGGAGGGCAAGTCCTCCTCCGAGCAGCCTCAAATTGCAGCAAAATTTCTCACGATAGAAAGGTCCAATGCTACACCACTCATCTTAGATTTGACCTTATTTACCTTAAGTCCTGTGGTCATCTCAAATACGTTGAGGAAAAGATGAAGAGTGTTAAGTTGTGCCTGCGATACCTCACAGAACAACAAGGTATCGTTGGCATATTGTAGGTGAGTTATCAATGGTCCCGAGTTGCTAATCTTAAATCCTTTGAGCAAGCCGGTATGGTAAACTCGAGAGATTCATCTGCTGAAAACTTCAGCTACAATCGCGAATAAAAAGGGGAAAAGAGGATCTCCCTGGTGGAGTCCCCTGGAGGATGGAAAGAAACCTATGGGAGATCTGTTGATAAGAATAAAGAAGTGTGGGCTTGAAATGCAACCTTTGATCCAAGCTCTCCATCGACAACCAAAACCAATGAGACGAAACGTCTCGTCAACGATGGACCAATCAACATGGTCATAGGCTTTCTCCTAATCGAGTTTGATGATTAAACTGGGTAACTTGGCATGATGTTGAGAGAGGATGGCCTCATGAGCAACAAATGCACCATCAAGAATTTGACGCTCTTTAACAAAAGCTCCTTGAGTTGGCGAGATCACCGTGCTAAGGACCTCTCACAGTCTCGAAGCGAGCAGTTTGACGAGAATCTTATAAGCGCTATTGATCAAACTAATAGGTCTAAAGTCTTCGAGTTCTTTTGTACCCTCGAATTTAGGAATGAGCGCAATAAAGGTGGCATTCATTGCACGATGAATGATTCTTCTAGAATGGAATTCATGGAAGAAGGCCGGAATATCCTCTTTTAAGGAGTCCCAAAAAATCATAAAGATAGCGATTGGAAATCCGTCAGAACCCGGGGCTCGGTCTTGGCCAAGATCTGTGATTGCCTTTAAGATCTCAGACTCTTCAAAAGGCCTTTCAAGCCAACCAGCAGAAGAGGGAGAGATGGCTTGGAAAGAAAGATCATCCAAGAAGGGTCTAGGCATCGAGGTGCCTCAAAAAGGTTTTAGAAGTATTCAGTGATTGTATCTTTGATCAAAGGAGGATGATCAAGCACAATATCTCCCACTCTAATATGAGTAATGGTATTATCCCTTCTTGTACAGTTTGCTATATTGTTAAAAAACCGGTGTTGAGGTCAACCGTGTTTACGCCATTTCACTCTTGATCGCTGGGCCCAAAAAATTTCCTCTTTCTTTAAGAGGAGTTGGAGTTCAAACTTGGCCTTGAATCGGAGGGTTCTCTCACTATCTGCAAGAGGACGAGTCTCCTCTGTAGAGTCCCACAATTGGATTGAATGGAGAACAGAGGCCTTTTGGGACCGAAAATTTCCTGGCAGCTGAGCACTCCAAGCTTTCAGAGAACCCTTATGACATTGATGCTTCTTTTGGAGACGATGCCTGCCCATCCGTGGACTTCTTCGAAAAATTCCCCCTGTCGTAGTTATGATCAGTATGGACATGACACTACAGTAGTTGCACTTGAGAACATAATCAAGTTGACTCCACTCACTGAAACCTACTTCTCCGCCTTTTCATTTTCACCATTACCTTTTCAAAGTGTGGCAGTAACTTCAGATGGTACAGGCAGCCAACATCAATCTCCTTTCAGAGTTTCCATATATTTCATATCCTGTATGAAATTGGTCATTCCATGAATATTTGTTTTGCTCGAATGCATTGACTACAAGTTTTTTTCTTTCTCAGTACCCCAAAATGAATACTAAACCAAAGCTGACAAAGTTGAAATGGAGCTGTTTGAGTCATCCTTTAATTATTCACTTCCCCTTCAAAAGGAAAAACAAATGGTTGAGATTAAAGGAAAACCCGATCTTCAAGATTAGACTTCTTATATAGATTTTATCAAAATCTATTGCTGTGATACATTTTTGCATAGCAGAGGCTTTAAGTCAGCAGAAATTTCCAGGCGGTCCTTGATCAAAAGTAACTTCATCACTAAATCGCTTGATTCACCATCCATATTAGTCAAATAGAATCAAATGAAAATGTCTTTAAGAATAACTATGAGCAACTATACCAATACAAGAATATTCAAAACTCCAAGAGTAAGGCAAACAATGAAGTTGATGATCAAAACTTAATCACAAAACAGAATTATTTCTAAAACAAGATTGAGTAAAAGTAAAATCAACCGATTTGTAGATGACAATGTATCTATTTCTTTGCAAAATTGGGCTCAATTTCATATGTGGCAATTCCACGAAGATCCTTTGTTAGTTGGGGGAAGAATCAGCATGAATCGGATTTTCGAAGAAACATACCAAAAGAGAATGTTTTGTGATTATTTTTAGAACGAGATTGAAAAGTACAATCAACCGATTTATAGACGACAATGCATCTATTTCTTTGCAAAATTGCACTCAATTTTATACGTGGCAATTTCACAAAGATCTCTTCGTTAGTTGGGGGAAGAATCAGCATGAGTCGGATTTTCTGAAGAACACATCAAGAGAGAATTGATTTGGTTAGGCAGTATGTGGTTGGTAAACAAGGATAGGTTTTTTAGCAAGGTACGAAATTTATTGTCAAATATTCAATACAATTCCACAAGATCTATTTTCGTTAAAGTAATGGATTCTAGCCAATTGAAAGGATCATCATATCAATCTAGAGATCATTTCGATTCCATTAGTAATGAGGATTCGAATATCACACATTGATACATCAAATAGCTAAAAGAAAGATCGATTCTTTGGGATCCTTCCTTTCTTCAAACGGAACGAACAAAGATAGAATCAAATCGATCCCCGAAATACCTTTTTCTAGATATTTCTCAATGTCAGCTATTCACGGAACGTGAGAAGCAGATGAATAATCATCTGTTTCAAGAAGAAATCGAATAATTTATTGGGAATCCTACAAAATCAATTCGTTCTTTTTCTCTAACAAATGGTCAAAACTTCATCTGGAGTCGAATGTTACTGAGAGGCCCACTAGAGATCAGATATTGTTGAAGAAACAACAAGATGTTTCTTTTATCCCTTCTAGGCGATCGCAAAAAAAAGAAATGGTTGATATATTCAAGATAATTATATATTTACAAAATAACGTCTCAATTCATCCTATTTCATAGGATTTGGGATGTGATATGGTTTCGAAGGATGAACCGCATATGGACAGTTTCAATAAGATTTCATTATTGAGCAAAAATCCATTTGGTGATTTATTCCACCTATTCCATGGCCGGAACAAAGATGTTTACACATTACACCACGATTTTTAATCAGAAGAGAGATTTCAAGAAAGGGTAGATCTATTCACTCTATTGATAACCGAGCCCAATCTGATACATTATAAGGGATTTTCCTTTTCTATTGATTCCTACGGATTAGATAAAAAAAAATTATTGAATGAGGGATTCAACTCTAGGGATGAATCGGAAAAGAAATCTTTATTGGTTCTACCTCATATTTTTAATGAAGAGATTGAATCTTTTTATCGAAGGATCTAAACAAAATCGGTCCGGATCTCCTGCATTTTCTATTTCGACCCATTTGAATACTGCATAAGAAGAGTTGTATTTATTAGATTAAGTATCTAAGAAAACGCAATGCAAATATAGCCATCTAGCTAGCCACATATTCCATCTTTTATTGTAGCTCCAATATATTCGTGCCATATCATGATTTCTATTTTCTATTCAAAATATTCAAAGTTAGAACACGACGGTTCCCTATAAATAAAATACCTGACTAGATGTGTAATAATTCTTGTTTGGGGATTACATATACATAAAGTCGTTGTTATAATTATGATTGGTTTCATTTGAATATGAATTGATTTTTTTTCAAGGATACTTTGAATTTTAACAAAATGTTTGGAAAGGTGTAATTTTTTAGAATAATTTCAAAGAAAATCAATTTTTTTGAAGAAAACAAAATAATACGATATAATATAATTTGATAAAATCCTTTCAAATTCTTTTTTTTTTAAATTGTTTACACTTGATTTTTCTCTACCATTTTGTCAATTTACCTTTGGATATATCTCCCTTTGTGCAGCAACAAGGCATTAACATTTGTTTATTAATTGATTACTTACATTGTGAAAATAATTTATTTGTTTTTCTTGCAATTTAATATGATTAAGAGTCGTTCCCAGCACCCATACACACAAATACAAATATATATAAGTATACAACGTTTTCTAGCCATGTTGTTAGAAGTCAAAATCCGAACTAATCATGTTTTTTCCATTCACTGATTTCTGGTGCTTCAATTTAATCATCATAATCATCATCGTCAAAACCTTTTACCAACTAATTGGAGTCAGCTACATGAATCCTGGTTTGCCAATTCTATTAAAGAACATGAGGGAAACCATAAGTCCCCGTATCTTTTCTCATTACTTCCAACCATGTCCTTTTTGTCTACCTCTTGTTCTTTTTTAGCCTTCCAATTGAACTAACTAGAACCTCCTGACAAGGGTTGCACACATTGGGTCTGGGCTACACAAGGGCAGCCCACCTAAGTCTACTTTCTCATCTTATCGCTATCTTATTGCCTATTGGTGATATACTGGGTCTGGTGCTTCAATTTATTAGACATATTTTTTGGCTCCACTTTTTGCTAACTATGAATTGCTAAATACGATCTAGATTAGAAGCACTTAATAGCCCAGACCAAGACCAATGTTAAAACTTATTCCAATCCACCAAAAGAGAGATTATGCAGATATAGGTCAGCTTGATGTTTTACTAATTAGTTGTTTAATAAAACGCAGCTATGATGGTTCAAGAATGAGCCTTTAAATTCCCTTAAATTCTAATCAAATGATCCACTGTATGAGGGAGTTTATCCACAAATTCTTTTGGGCAGATCAATTTTTGCCACTAATACAGACATACAATCCACAAAATCACAAAACAAATTCATGACCCCAATCACAAGGATTCAAAGAATATTGAGATCAATCCATCAGAATGAAGTAGCAAATTGACAGCAGGGAAAAATGAGAAACCCAAAAACTCACTCTGTCCCCTTCTCTTGCTGCGTTTTCCCATATAACTTTGTACATGAAAACGAGACGAACCCAGTTTGTGCTCGCCTGAAGCGCAGCCGTGGCTCAGAAAATTCGATCTCTGGCAATCAGAAAGTAAGACCTGTAAGACTGAAATCATGGAAATTTCACAGAGAGAGAGAGAGAGAAACCTTTAGAAGAGGCAAGGGCAGAGAGGTGGAAGAAGAAGAAGCTTCAAGAGCTTGTTGAGCTCTGCCATAGGAAGGTGATACGACCACCTGTGGTACTCCTGAAACAGCCTGCATCCCTGTGATTCCGAAGAAGACCCAGGGAAAGTTGGGAGTTTTTTTTAATTTATATTGCAAAGGAAAAAAGAGGAAGGAAAAAGTTACAGTCCTTTGAGAAGGAAGGACAAAATTCAGGTTTCCAACTTCTGGGAGGAAAAAACACGGGAGCTCTTTCCTTTTTAGGTACTTTTTGCCCTTTATTCGCCCCCTGGTTTTTCTATGTGTAATAATTTGGATTTTTTTTTGCGCACTCACTCTTGCGGTGGAGATTAATTATATGAAGTTGGGAGCAAACAACACGCACCATGCACCGCCAAAGTGATATTTTGGAGGTGAACGAATATTTTGGGTTTTAGGGTTGGCGAGCTCTACCATGTACACGACATATTTAAGGGGAAAGTAACAATACCCGCCGAAGGCGGTGCCATCAATTGAGATAGTGGACGGTGATTGCACTTTCTCCACAGTCCACAAGTTTCAGTTGGACGATGATGCCTAGAGAATTATGAGTTTGCTACGTAGGGGTCTGGGTCATCTAGGATCTGGACCCGAATTATGGTTTTTCCACATTAGGGATGGCAATGGGTTGGGTTAGGTCGGGTATGGGTCAACCTGGTTCTGAACCTAACCAGAGCCAACTCGAGTCCTGTGACAACCCTAAAACTTTTGGAACAAACAAAAAAAAAAAAAAAATTAAAAAAAAAAAAAAAAAATATATATATATTAATGGTGTTAATAGAAATAAATACAAAATAAATAAATAAATAAAATACTTACAGGAAATAAATAACTTTGAAGTGATAGTTCATTATGTCGAAAATAATTAGTATTTTTTCATAATGATTAGTATTATACCCAATATTCATTGGCCGGTAACTTCACAATTTTCTTGAGGATGCCAAATAATAGGAGCATTAGCTTTTTATAAAAATGTTTCAATAATAACAAAAGTTTTGGATGGTGCAATTGTATTTAGGTGGACCTTAGGTCCACCATCAATTGCTTCAAGGTTTTACATGGAAAGTTGGTTTTGGCAATTTAGGTAGCAACTCATCAACCAAATTCACATTCGATTGACACTTTTTAGCTGAGGTGTCACGAATGCCTTTCTCTTCTCTCTCTCTTTCCATACACGGCCTCTCTCTTTATATCTCTTTCTTCTCTCTACGCGTTCAGTTAACCCACAAGTTGAGCATAGAGGAGAGTCTAAATAAGAATGAGAGAGAGAGAGAGAGAGGATGGAAGGAACGGCCCCATAATGAGCTTAGTAGGTTACCCTGTGGTGTCCCATGGAGCACACTACCTTTGAAGATCCATAGTCATAAAAAATAAGCAGTCTCCATATCACTGATCCATTGTCTTGGCTGAAGATGCTGTACAGAGTAAGGAATATACTCTTTAATGTCCCATCGTTTGATGGTTTCATACTAATTCTATACCATGATTCTTGACCTTGTTACTTGGTTTGATTTCCTTTATCTTGGTATGGTTTCTTCTAATTCCATACCATGATTCTTGACCTTGTTACTTGGTTTGATTGCCTTTATCTTGGCATAATTTCTTCATAGTCTTCACGAGACTTTCTTGTTAGAATTCTCTGATATTTCATCACATAATAGAAAGCAATTTTGAGTTTCTAAGGAGTTTTTACTGTTTTCTTGAGTCCGTACCGGACCAAAATTTTCCCATCCTACTTAATTGGTTAGTATCCTATAATATTGGCACTCTCTCTCTACTTTTCCCTCTTTACGTTTCCCTCTTTTTCTCTCAACTTCAATGGAACCATGCCATCTTCCCTTGCTTAAACCCTATGTTACTGCAGTGGAAATACTTGTTTGGCGTTGTGCTTCTTGCACAATATTGACTGAGGTACACTACAAACAAACTGCTTTAACGGCTAAAAAAGAAAATGGTGTTTGATATAGCTTGTTTCACCTCCCATTTGGCATGATCCCCACAATACAGCTACAAGGGAAGAGAACTAATGTTACTCCATCATCAGACCAAGATTCCTTATTTCTGGGTATCCTTGGCAAAGCATGGGGCTTCGAGAAATTAGATGAAATGGTGGGCAAGGATGATGAGGATGTTGTAACGATTTATCTAGACGTTCCACCTAGCAGTGTGGATTGTTGTGTCTGTAAGCGACCTCATTGTCTCGAAGACTAATCTTTTTAGTAATAATTGTGATATTTTATCTATTGTAAAAAATTTTAAATACTTTAAATTATTAGAAATAAATGTGATATTTCCGCTTTTAGTAAAATTGTGAGATTTTCTTTTTACTGTTTTGAATATTTAGACATTGTAAAATTCATGTGCAAATGACTTCCTCATTATTTGAAAAACTGATATTTCTGCACTTGATTGTAGTATTGCCTATGAAATGATCATTTACGAATTGACAGTTCCATAAATTGTGATAATTCTGTATTTAATTTTGGATTCCCACAAGGGTTCTTTTATTGATAGTGGACTGTTGTCATGTTAGATTTCTAGAATGTCTTTCAGAACTGTTATCTTTCAGAAATTATTGCACAAAATGTTTAAATGGCTACTTAGAGATATTTCAATGGAAGTGATTGTTATTAAATTGCTTCAAGTGAATTGATGGTAATGTTTTCAATGACACTTCGCATATATGATATTGTTGCTTTATGATGTTTAAAGAGTTTCAGAGATAATTTGAGTATAAATGGGCCTGCAGTGATCGTTAAGGCCTATCCGGTTATGTCGGTAGAGACTATTTGGACTCATCCGGGACGCCGGTGAGGTATGATCGGACCTGCAAGGATTGTTAGGACCTAGCCAGTTACGTCGGTAGGGACTATTTGGACTCATCCGGGACGCCTGTGAGGCATGTTTGGACCTACAAGGATTGTTTAGACCTTTCTGGTAGGGGCTATTTGGACTCATCCGGTACGCCAGTGAGGTATGTTTGGACCTGCAGGGATTGTTTGGACCCATCAGGACGTTGGTGGAGTATATAGGTGACCTACTTGGAATGCCAGTAGGGTATTTTTTGAAATCTTTTGAATTATGCATTTTTGTTAAAATGTTTATATGCATTTTCATCATTTGGATTATGTTTAACTGTGAATTTGTGAAAGTGCAATTGTTATCTATAAATGCTTTTGCTCGAAATTCTTCCTCAAGTTTTTTTTTTTTAACATACCATCTTCAGAAATTTTTTATATCTTCCAACCATGATTATTTTTAGGACCATGATGATCACTTATTGAGTTGTCAAACTCACCAAACTATGGCAAATATGTTTTCAGGGTAATTGCAGTCTCATAGTTAAATGCACATCAGGACCAGCTTGTGAAGAAGATGTAGTCATGTCATAACTAAATTCTCCTTTGTAACTTTTGTTTAACTTCACCATTGTAAGTTTTTGTTCTATCAACAGATGTATACCTAGACTTCATGTTAATATCAATTGTGAGCAAAATTTGAACAAATTTTAATTAATAGAAAAATTTGTTTTGTTATAATATATATTAATAGGAATTTGAATTTTTCCTAGTATAAGAATAGTCTGTCGCACCTCGGGAATATTAGAAATCTTGGGATGTGACAATTATGGTATCAGAGCAATAGGTTTAACATTCATAGGAAATTTGAAAAGAATGTACTCTAAGTCATATTTATTGTATGTACAGACCGGTACGAGATCAAGATCCAGAATGGTTGAAGCTAATATGGAAGGAATTCATAAAGCCTTGGAAAATATGGTTGCCCTAATGCAACATCTGATGGAGAACAACAATCCACGCAGGCAGTCAGCTACGGGAAATGGTGGGTGTAATATCGAACAATTTAAGAAATTGAACCCACCTTCTTTTAAGGGTGCTGTAAACCCACTAGAAGCCGAGTGATGGATTATGTAATTGGAGAAAAATATTCGAGGTAATGGAATGTCCTGATGATAAGAAGATGACCTTGGGAGTTTTTATGTTAGAAGGTGAAGTACAACATTGGTGGCGAATGACAAAAGGAGTATTGGTCCAAGAAAATAAACCTTTGACTTGGGAAGTATTTCTAGAGACATTTAATGAAAAGTACTTCCCAGATTTTATTCGAGACGAAAAAGAAATGGAATTTCTAAAATTAGTTCAAGGAAGCAAGACAGTAGCACAGTACGAGGCCAAGTATACTGAATTGGCCAGGTTCGCTCTACATATGGTCAGCAACGAAGCAAGAAAGGTAAAAAATTTTGAAAGGGACCTCAGACTAGCCATCAGAAGCAGAATATCAGTCTTAAAACTAAGGACTTATGTCGAAATAGTGGACAGAGCCCAAATTGTTGAAAAAGATTGCGAAGATTACTAAAAGAGGAATAGTCAGAGAAATCTGTATAGGCCCACACAACCTAATCGGTGACACTCTGAAAGAGTGAACAAAAGGCCAAGGCCAGCGCCATTTCCAAGCCCGCTAGAGCCTTGTAAAAAATGTGGGAAGAGACATAGGATGAAACCCTGTTATTGGGAAATCGGAGCTTGTTTCCAATGTGGGAAGTTGGGGCACAAGATCAAAGATTGTCTTGCCTTGAAAATATAGCAACATTCGAAACCTGAAGAGGCAGCCCAGAAACCTCAAATGAAAGGGAGAGTATTTGCAATTACCCAGCAAGATGCTCAGGCCTCAAAGTCAGTGATCCAAGGTACTCTTACTATCTTTCAAAAAGCAGCTCATGTTTTGATTGATCCTGGATCTACTCATTCATTTGTGTCACCACACTTTATGATAAGGATAGAAGAAAAGGAAATGTTAATGGATTTCATACTCCTAGAAATTCAAGATTTTGATGTAATTTTAGGCATGGATTGGCTCTCTGCATACCATACAAGTATTCATTGTTACAAAAAAATGGTTACTTTTTGTATTTCGAATCAACCAGTATTTTACCTCGAAGGTATCAAGGAAGCCTTTCCACTATTTTTAATCTCCTCAATTCGGGCTAATCGCCTCCTTCGAAAAGGATGTCAAGGCTTTCTTGCCTATGTTAAAGTAGATAGAAAGGAAAAGATAATCTTGGACACCATTCCGGTCGTCCGAGAATTTCCTGACGTATTTCCTGAGGAATTGCCATGGTTACCACCTGATAGGGAAATTGCATTCTCTATTGAGTTACTTCCCGAGACAGCCCCAATTTCTTAGGCCCCTTATCGAATGGCGCCTGCGAAACTTAAGGAACTTAAACAATAATTGGAAGAATTATTACATAAAGGTTTTATCAGATCTAGTGTGTCACCTTAGGGTGCTCCGGTATTGTTTGTTAAAAAGAAAGATAGGACTATGAGGTTGTGTATCGATTATAGACA